CAAGCACCCAAAGGAGCTCCTTACTGCCAAACTTGGTTTGATTTGAACTTTTTTTGTAAAAGTTATTCCACTTTGAAATTCTTCAAAAGTACCCTAACTTCGGGGCCCCTGGGGACCCCTTAAACATGCTCAAAAACGAAAACCTTTGATAACTTTTAATCTCCAAAGCCTCAACTGCATAATGACCGAGTTTGAAGCCGATAGCTGATAATCCCTAGGAGGAGTTCGTTAAAGTTCGACATGAGCGAAAATGAAAAATGGCCAAAAATCACACTTTGAGGCAAAATGGCCGACTTCCTGTGGGTTTTAGGGCATACCTCCAAGAGACTTTTTTTCATGATTTGATGAGATCTACCTGGGTGCCAAAGTTCAAATCTCTGTGACTTACAGTTTCCCCCAACTCACGTTAGGTGGCGGTGTGGTGTAATTTGGGGGCGGCCATTTTGGATTCCATTACAGTCCGGCTATTTCACGCGGGGGACAATTTACTGCCACGTTTTCCTGAGTTTTTGAATATGCGAAGTCCCCGTAAAATGCGTTCGAAGTGAGAAAAGAATAATAAAAAGAAACTTTCGAAATACAATAGGCTCTTGCAGCCTTCGCTGCTCGGGCCTAAAAAATAAAACCGCGGATGTCTGGGGGTGTCATGATGGGTTTTAGGTTCTTAGCCCACATGCAGAACACAACGGAGGCTGGGTAAAAGTTTAACAGAGTTTATTGAGTATGCACAAAAAACACAAGATCATGAACTGGATCAGGAACTGGTCCGGGCTGGTTCACTGAAGTCTGCAGAGATGATAGTTTGATTAGGAAGCAGGCTGATGAGTTATGAGTCTTTGATAATTCAAGAGTATACCTTGATAGAGTCTGGGCTTCTCTTTGAAAGAGAGGGAACCGTTGGGTCCAGAGACTGTTTGTTCAGCAGAGTCCAAGAGCAGCTGCAGCATCTTGCTTCTGACTTTAATGGCAGACCTTGATCAGAGTTTCCAGCTCTTAGTTAAGAGCAGCAGGGGAATCCACATAGGAATCTTCAGGTTTGGCTCACGAGGGCAATCTCGGCAGGTTAAGCTCATCCAGAGCTTCAGGCTAGAGACAGGTTTCCTGTGAGGCAAAAACAAGGGAGAGTTAGAATCAGATCTCTCTCAAGAGACAGCTAAGATTCTTCAGGTTCTAGGCTCAGGTCGCTAACCAAACTAGGTCAACACTGCGGCGTCGAAGCAAGGTCTGGCAGCTGGTTATAAAGGGCAGGTCTCTTGATGAGTAGATGCGTCTCAGGTGTGCTGGAAGACTCCAGTTCCAGGAGACCCACGGCGCACTCTGCTGGAGGAAGGTGGTACAGCTCCAGATCCCAACAGGGGGACAGTGATGTTATGAATGCTGGCGTACCATAAAGAATAAATTATGAACAGTTTAGTTTGTGCCTTCAACTCGTTGCCCAAAGGAAGACGTTAGTTGGATATAACCTAACGGAATGTCTTCAGAACAGCTCCAAATCACACAAAACTCATATGGGTGAGTAGAACATGATGTGATAACCTAAAATCAAGGACTTAATGTAAAAAAACTGGCGTTCTCTTTTAATCTCAAAAAACAGTAGAGGCCTTTAGAATATTGCAAAGAGTAAAGCTTTTTTTTATTGTAAGATACTCGCTCTACTGAGGAAGATGAACAATTTTGAAAGTTATAGTGGGGTGATATTATTTTTGTTAGACATGGTAACTCACATTTTGCTGGACTGATCATTTTGATGTACAGATTTTCCTGATAATACCATTAAACAAATTGGCAATGAAAAATATCATATAACTGTTTGTTATATGATATTTGTCATAATTTCTAGTCTGTATTTTTAAGTTTTAGTAAAAACTAGAGTTTCTGAAGTAAAATTAAAACTTTTTAATGTAATACATGAATAATACTACAATAATACACAGAAATACTACATAAACTTTACGTTTTGAAACGCATACACAGCGCATGGGCACTGTAGCTCACAGCAGGACTGATTCTGTGGTGTAGCCTATATGAAATACTGTGTATTTGTTGCTTACAAATCATACCAACCTTATCTTTTTTTCAGTGCAAATACTAATGCGGTACAACATAATGTACTTTTACTATTAATGCTATATTTGTACATGCTTTTTTTCATTAAAATAGAGGCTCTTTACACCACTGCTCAAAGATTAAGTGGCTGTTTGTGTTCTGACCCTCGCCCAGAAGTTGCTTTGAGCATGTTTGTGTAAGTTAAATATTCTGACCTTACATATGAGTATATTTCTGTAACGAAACTCTCAGTTTCAGAGGGTTGTAAATTTTTTATTGCATATTTGAAAAGCAAGATGCTAGTTACAGGGCTGCCCAGTGGGTCAGTGGGTAGCCCTGCTGCCTTGCAGCAAAAGGTCCGATTCCTGGCCCGGGTTGTTTCTTCATGGAGTATGCATGTTCTCCCTGTGCTTGCATGGGTTCTCTCCTGGTACTTCCTCCCAGTCCAAAAACATGACTGTTAGGTTAATTGGCTTCTCTAGATTGTCCTTAGGTGTGCGTGAATGGTTGTTTGTCCTCTTTGTCTCTGTGTTGCTCTGGGGTAGACTGGCGACCTGTCCAGGGTTTACCACGCTTCTCGCCCATTGACAGCTGGAGATAGGCACCAGCACTCCTCGTGACCCCACTTTAAGCGTGTCTTAAAAAATGGATGGATGGATTGGTTAGACAAAAACATTATATTTAATAGTGATTTATTGGAGATTGGTGGATTGTTGACCTTCTCATCATTTGTGGGTAAATAAGATCAAAATTTTGAAATACAACGTATCACAGCTCCTTGTCAGTTTTAAAAGAATCGGAAACAGTTTTGATCACCAACCTTCAAATCTTTTACTTATTACTATGGCAATGTGTCTTGCATTGCACGCTTACTGGATTTTTTTCTCTTTTTTTTATCTGTACTGCCCCCTAGTGGTTGAATCCTTTTGTTTGTGAGACTTCTGCGAGACTGTGTATGGTACGTTTAAGAAAAACGTATCAAAACACATCTATAAATACCAGATTTTCTTTTAACCGTTTACATTTTGTGGTTTAGTGCTAAAGCTATACTTTGGGGAGGGACATTTGTAATTTTGGTCTTTTTCTATAAAGCGCAAGAGCATACTCTTTTGCACAGTCCCTCACAGCTGAAACACATGAACCCCACTTTACATGAACAAACCAGGAAACAAGATCAGCGTTAGAGGTGCATACTGTGTCTAACTGAAATGCATGGAAGGTCATTCATGTGGAAGAGAGGTGAGGATGTTTGGAGGAAATGCACAAGACCAGCAGAGAAGTGGAAGAAGAAGCCAACCCCATAAACAGATTCCTAATAAAATCAAAGCAACACTTGATGATCATGGGGTAAAACATGGCCTCACAATGGCTAAGGTTGGCCAAAGGGTTCAGCTAAAAGTCTGGAGAACTACTGCTTGATTATTTAGACATTTTGTCAGACAGGTGAGTATCCTGTAATTAAGGGTTATTCAGAAAAAAACTAATTTGCACTACTATTGTCATACAATAGAATTGCTTTGGGACATGACGTTGTAAACCTCTACATACAGACTTACTGTCATAGTTTTGGTTCTGTTTAAGTTTTCTTTTCGAGTTCTCATTGGTTTCATTTCCATTGTGTGCTATTCTAGTTGTTTTTGGGTTCCTATGTATTTTCTCCGTTGCCCCCCTCTGTAATTTCCTGTGATGAAATCAGCTAAGAAAGAATGTTTGGTGTTTAGATTTTAAATCAATAACAAAATAAAATAAAAAAAATGTACCTAAAAAGGGAAGATTATTCAATGCTATGCAAAAAGCAACTTAGTTAATTCAAGAAAACTGGAGTTGCAGGTCTTAGTATGAGCCCACAGGTCTGTTTCACAAAACCTGGATAAGGGTGTAAAGAGAATTTTCTGACCATCTTGGATTAATTGAGCCTGGACACAGTTTAACAAAAACATATGATTTATGCAGTGTTGCTAGCCATGCTTACTGGTGACTTATCTGTTCAGACAGTGTCACACCCATCAGAAACCAATCAGTTATTCTGGTGATTATTTTTTCTTATACTTTTCTTGGTTTATTTTTTCAGCTTACTTTAAAAACCAATTTATACATATTCAAATATAGTCAAGTATTTTGATTATTTTTATCAGCATTATGGTAGCCTATATAATTATGAACATTGGGACATTGTTAATTTTGATAATGTTTTTGAAGATGTTTTTTGTTATAATGTTGACAGAAAGACCTTTAGTAGACTACTGGTGTTGTCTATAATGACAGGCCATAAAAGAAGCTCCAAACATGTATCTTCCCTTACAATTACGAGCCAATACTTGAAGCTTTCCCCACAATTACATAGATGACAGTGACTCAGGATTCATTTCTCAGTCTCCTGTTCTCCAGCCAAAGTCTTCAACAACACTTCTTAGGGACAGATTGCTGGGGCAAAGGAATAAAAAATAAATGAGTCTTACAATACCTTCCACTGTTAATTTTTAAGTTGAATGTTGATCATTAAATTATGATGTTTTTGGTTTAGAGAAGTGGTTAGAAAATGTGTATTTTGGGCTTCTGATATCATTACAAGGATGCACTGATCACACTAAGTCAAGACAGGCTCTATCTTCCCCTGGATTTCTGAATTCAACTTTTGTTAAATAGGCCTTAAGTTTACTCTGAAATTTGTATAGTTTTTATCACCTTCAGGTTCCTATATGAAGACTCAGTGCAATCTATTAGTCATTAGGTTTCGGGTTTATGTTATCCTTATGTCTCTAGCCTATATCATATATTCTTTACTTTTATTAGTTCATAGATTACTTTATTAGAGAGATTATTTCATATACATCTAATATTCAAGATCCTAAAACTCATTTTACTGTATTTAAGTCCTCATATGGGGTTTTATTTAACTGAAATAACAAAGGAATTAAATTTCATTCTTAAACAGGCATCACAAATGAGTGGAGAAATACATGTTTATCATGAGTTTTATTAGACCACGTATTATATTCTCAGTATTTAGAAGGTAGGCCTGGGGGTCTGTAACGGTTGGGATCTCCTCCGTTCCGACCCCAACGATTTGCTTCTTGATCAGCTGCTGAGTCCGCAGCACCACTACCAGTTACTGCCGGATAGAGCTCTCTGGCATCGCTGAAAAGAGAGAAATACACATTTAAAAAAAATCTATTTAGAATTTGTTTTATTTAACTTGAGAAATCCTAATTTCTGTGGAAACAAAAGGCATTTTCACACCATCTGTTTTTTGTTATATTGTTCAAAAATTCTAGGGTCCTTCATTAAACACCCTAAAATACTTTAAGTCTTGCTTTTGTCAAAAGGTGAAACCACACAATCACACAACAGTTTACTTGTGCAATCGATTTATAAGTTTTGCTTTGCCGTTAAGAATGGGAATTCCTTTGTTTAGAAATCTTACCAGCCCAATAAATATCAGTGAATTTGTATACACTTAACCATGTCTCTACATTAATGCGTCAAAAATATCCAGAAGAAAGTACATTTTTATAAAACAGTATAAACCCTAATGACCTACACAAAAGATCTATCTGCTTTTTAGTGTTTGACCTTATAAAATTTATTTCCAATCATTTTAAGGTTATACTCTGTTTATTACCTGATAATCCAAGCAGCGAATTTCCCTCCTGGTCCTATCCGCGCAGCATCATAGTTTCCTCTGGCATGAAAGTATTTGTCAGAATTTTTCCAGTTGGCCTCTCTCATGTCGCTGTAGGCTCTGTACATTTCCTTAGCTCCTGATTAGGTAAAAAAAGCACAGAATGTTCATATTATATAATGACCCTTTCAGTGACAACCATGAATGTACTTAAAAAGGTTCTGCTTATATAGTAGGTCATATGTCTTATCTTGATAAGCTCCAACAGGAAACTTGTACCACTGAGCATCACATATAGTGAGGAAAGTGAGAACAATTCCTGCTAAAAGCAGCTTCATTTTTGCAAAGGCCTAAAACAAAAATCACAAAGTTCAAATTACACTATATGTATGGATTTTCTTAGGATTTTCTATATTAAATGTACTTACTTCACTCTGTGCAGATGTTTCAACAACACTTCAAGCACACTATTTTACCTGGGATGACAACTCCTCTTTTATAGTATAACTGAAGAAAATGGGCGTTGGGATTCTACAAACAAGCTGAATCCAGATTTTGTTGACTGTAGCTGGAGATGAGATAAAGTTGGGTAATTATTTAGCTGGGGCATTTTATAGTTAAGCAACTTGGTAAAACTCCAACACAACAGCACAGGGAAACAAAACATAGATATTTTTCAATCTAAATACACACAATTGTGTCCCCAGGTTCAGCACCAATCACATCATGAAGTCTGCAGGTAACACCACGATGGTGGGCCTCATCAGAGATGACAATGACCAGGACCAGTGTTGTTTTTGACAGCCATCTTAAATTTAGTGTTAGTCCTAGTCTTCAAGACGAAAACTATTATCAGTCTTAGTCGCATTTTAGTCATTACGATATCTGATAGTTTTAGCCGGTTTTAGTCGACTAAAACTGAAAAAAGATTTTAGTCTAGTTTTAGTCAGCTTTATGTTGCAAAAAAAGTTAACCTTTTCAATTTGGAATAACAACCAGATACTTTACCAGACTGACAGCTTTTGCCTAGATATTACAATTGCTGGGTATAGAATGCAGCCGTGCAGTTCATCTTTGCTGTTGGGCAGAAAATCTTTTTATTAAATAATGCTCTACTTTTTAAAAAGTGTCTCACAAAACGTGTAAAATAGCAGATGTAGTTCAACACATCATATTGGTTAATATAGGAGACAGACATCCTAACAAAATGTACCATAAAGGAATAGTTTTAGACATACAGGGTTTCCATCATACAGCAAACACTTCCTGATCTACTATGAATTATGCATTACACACAGACCAATAAAATCGTCATTACTCCAAAAAAGCAAATAACAAAAACATTCTTCTTTCTACTTTGGCAATTATGGTTTTATTTCTTCAATTTACCCCTTTGTTACTGCTGCTGAAGGGTCAAAGTAGATTTGAATTTACATTTTTTTTTTTAAATAAAAGAAATACAGAGAGAACCTATCTGGGTTCATCCAGACCTAAATTGAATAAACCTTGCTCTTTATCCAGAAGAAAAAAATACAATGAAATATTTTATTTTGATATAATTTAGGGATTCATTTTGGTATAAATTAAAGAATATTTAGTATCACCTCTTGTGAGCTGGACAAAATAAAATATTGATAGTCACGGGATTTTTTTACACTTGACAGAGGATGATCAGCCCCATATAGTTTATTAAGTAGCGAGAGCAGGAAGAGCCATACTAATGAGAGTAAACCATCAGAGTGGAGCATAAAGCGCAGACTCAGAGCTCCGCATGCGCAAAGATGCATTTCTGCACAAGCACAGATGGAAGATCAGAGCAGAGTTTGTCAAAGTTAAGCGTGCAGTACAGGACCATTCCGGGTTATTTTGTTAGACCCTGCCGCTACTGCTATTATCCATCTTTGCTCCTACAGCATGTGCAAAACTGCATGGCAGGTGGGCGGCAGGATCAAACATGACGCAGCAGCATAGCTGATACCGCTTAGCTGATTACAGCCCAATGATGCATTTGGATGTCTGACCGACAATCCACAAATTTTTATTTAGTCTCAACTTGTGTCATTGATCCATGTTTAGCTCTTCAGTTTTTGTTATCATCATGGAAAAAAGGAGCCTCAATGAAATTGAATGAAAGCGTCATCCTTATTGTTGACAAAAACAACACTGACCATGCATACAGAAAGAAGCTGGAGTAGCTGGTGGGCTGGTTCAGAGATAACAGCCTGATCCTGAACATGGAGAAGACGGAGGAGATCATCGTTAACTTCAGGATCAACCGGCCTAACCACGCTCCACTGCTCATCAACAGCTCAGCTGTAGAAATGGTCAGCAGCACCAAATTCCTGGGGGTGCACATCACAGACACCCTCACCTGGACTGTAAACAACACCTCACTGGTCAACACGGCACAGAAGCGCTTGTACTTCTTGCAGAGGATGAGGAGAGCCCATCTGCCCCCACCCATCCTCACCACCTTCTACAGAAGCACCATAGAGAGCGTTCTGACCAGCTGGCTCACTGTGTGGTTTGGAGGTTGCAGCACCTCAGACTGGAAGAGTGTGAGACTAGTGGTGAGAACAGCAGAGAGGATCTTCGGGGCTCCTCTTCCCCCATTAAAGACATTTCATCCCAGCAGTGTGTGTCCAGAGCCCGTAACATCATAAATTACCCCTCACACCCCCCACTGCATGAAAAGTGAGATTTTCGTCCCCGTAAACTCCCGCAGATCTCCCTGATTTTCGTCAGTTTCCGACAATTTGCAACCCGTGCTTGTCCGCGTTTGTCGTGCCAAAAATTGTCGGAAACGTACCATGACGTATGTGGAGAGCGATCAGCTGTACTAATGGCCCTAATTAGCATATGAATGCAGCAAACCCGCGCGGCTGGCCAGGTCTGGCTTGAATAACCTACTCAGTATTGGCTGAAACCACTATTCTCAAACAAGTGAAATCGCTCGTGATTGGCAGCAAAACCACACGTGGCCACGCCAGGCTTTAATTTTCTTACTGAGTATTGGACGGAACCACTTCTTTTTAAACAAGTAAAGTCGCTCGTGATTGGTTGGCATATATATATATTTACATATAAATTTACATATATATATTTATTCATATATATATATATATATATATTTATTTATTAATTAATATATTTATTCATTCTTATACAGTTGCTGGTCATAAAATTAGAATATCATGAAAAAGTAGATTGATTTCAGTAATTCCATTTAAAAAGTGAAACTTGTATATTATATTCATACATTACATACAAACTCATATATTTCAGATGTTTATTTTGTTTAATTTTGATGATTACAAATGACAACAAATGAAAATCTCAAATTCATCATATCAGAAAATTAGAATATTGTGAAAAGGTTCAAAATTGATGGCCCCTGGTGCCACACTCTAATCAGCTAATTAACTCAAACCACCTGCAAAAGCCTTTAAATGGTCTTTCAGTCTAGTTCTATAGGCTACACAATCATGGGGAAGACTGCTGACTTGACAGTTGTCCAAAAGACGACCATCGACACCTTGCACAAGGAGGGCAAGACACAAAAGGTCATCGCTAAAGAGGCTGGCTGTTCACAGAGCTCAGTGTCCAAGCACATTAATAGAGAGGCGAAGGGAAGGAAAAGATGTGGTCGAAAAAAGTGTACAAGCAAGAGAGATAACCGCACCCTGGAGAGGATTGTGAAACAAAACCCCTTCAAAAATGTGGGGGAGATTCACAAAGAGTGGACTGCAGCTGGAGTGAGTGCTTCAAGAACCACCACACACAGACGTATGAAAGACATGGGTTTCTGCTGTCGCATTCCTTGTGTCAAGCCACTCTTGAACCACAGACAGCGTCAGAAGCGTCTTGCCTGGGCTAAAGAGAAACAGGACTGGACTGCTGGTGAGTGGTCCAAAGTCATGTTCTCTGATGAAAGTAAATTTTGCATTTCCTTTGGAAATCAAGGTCCCAGAGTCTGGAGGAAAAGAAGAGAGGCACTTCATCCACGTTGCTTGAAGTCCAGTGTAAAGTTTCCACAGTCAGTGATGGTTTGGGGTGCCATGTCATCTGCTGGTGTTGGTCCATTGTGTTTTCTGAGGTCCAGGGTCAACGCAGCCACATACCAGGAAGTTTTAGAGCACTTCATGCTTCCTGCAGCTGACCAACTTTTTGGAGATGCAGATTTCATTTTCCAACAGGACTTGGCACCTGCACACAGTGCCAAAGCTACCAGTACCTGGTTGAAGGACCATGGTATCCCTGTTCTTAATTGGCCAGCAAACTCTCCTGACCTTAACCCCATAGAAAATCTATGGGGTATTGTGAAGAAGAAGATGCAATACACCAGACCCAACAATTCAGAAGAGCTAAAAGCCACTATTAGAGCAACCTGGGCTATCATAACACCTGAGCAGTGCCACAGACTGATCGACTCCATGCCACGTCGCATTGCTGCAGTAATACAGGCCAAAGGAGGTCCAACTAAATACTGAGTGCTGTACATGCTCATACTTTTCATGTTCATACTTTTCAGTTGGCCAACATTTCTATAAATCCTTTGTTTTTATTGGTCTTCAGTAATATTCTAATTTTCTGATATGATGAATTTGAGATTTTCATTTGTTGTCATTTGTAATCATCAAAATTAAACAAAATAAACATCTGAAATATATGAGTTTGTATGTAATGTATGAATATAATATACAAGTTTCACTTTTTAAATGGAATTACTGAAATCAATCTACTTTTTCATGATATTCTAATTTTATGACCAGCACCTGTATATATATATATATATATATATATATATATATATATATATATATATATATATATATATATATATATATATATATATATATATATATATTTCAACTACACTGAAATAAGTGACTTTTTGGTGCAGTAAACTCTATTAGAGAATTTGTCATGATTTACAGTCTGTATTTTTAAGCTTCAGTAAAAACTTGAGTTTCTGAAGTACAATTTTAACTTTTTTTAATGTAACACATGAATAATACTACAAAAATACACAGAAATACTACATAAACTTTACTCTGAAATGTAACACTTTGAAATGCATACACAGCGCATGCGCACTGTAGCTCACAGAAGGACTGATTCTGTGGTGTATATGA